CTGGGGAATCACACCTTCCTTATAAACCAGCCTTTTCTTCATGTTTCTCTTTTGTGAGCAGGAGGTTAGATAGAAAGACAATACAGTGAGTGAGCCTGGTAGACTCAGAGCCTAATGGGGGCGGGGAGAAGGTCAAGCAATTATGATCATTTGACTCGGTTGTGGTCTCAGGTGCCAGAGGCCCCCAAACTAGGGCAAGGATAAGAATGGATTCCCCAAGGGACATGCACACAAGCTGCCCCTTGAGAATGAGTCAGAAGAAGGTTGTGCTTGCCAAGTCCTTCCTGGTGCTGTGGTCACTCTGAGGACTCTCTGTGGGTGATAACACCTGGTTCCCTTAGCACTTGGAAGGCAGGTCTGGGCTATCATATGGTATATAAGGAGATTGGGGATTTAAGTGGCTTACAGTGTTCTCCTTGGTAGGATGGGAGAGCTAGACGTAGGGTGCAGCAATCTGACTCCAGAGCCCCTCCTCTTTACTCAGAATGTCTCATTTCCTCTGCATCAGGCACAGACAACAGAAGTGAGATGCTGCAAGCAGTAGGTCTGCAGGGTTGGTGGCACCTCCTTGCATTGCCTTGGTCACAGTTCTCTCTGCCCTCCAATACTGGTCATGATTTCTTTATTACAAACTCACTCTTTGGGTTTGGTTGTTGCTAACTCATTTAGAAAATGAATCCTAAGGAATTTGGGCTCAGGGACCCATTATAAGTATGAGAAAGAACCCTTGTATATTTTAAGTTGACATCTACCTTTATTTAGTCTCATAAGGTGTTATTTCCAGGTTCTTATAAATATTGCCGTTCTGTAGTAAAATCGTTACAGCTTTCTTTTATATGTGTCAAAAGGAAATTAAATACCAAAGCACTGATGCCTACCATTTTCTATATACAGGGGGAAAAAGTCATAACCGTCGTGGGAAAAATACAACAATGGCCCAAAATAAACAATACAAAAAAGTTCTTTAGCAACTGGGAATTTTTTTATTTCCTTTTCTATTGAATTCCATCTGACTTCCTCCAGAACTTTATATGTATATTAAAGCTAATGCTTGAAAAATGCCTGTAGCCATAAGGGACTGAGTGGCAAAACAGTATTCTTCTTTGAAATATGTTCTGTAATTGGTATTATGTTGGTGTCCCTGACCACAACAATATACATGCAGAAATATGTTTTTAGTTTTTAAAAATATTTATTTTGCATGTGTGAGTGTTTTGTCTTCATATATGTCTGTGTACCAAATGGTACCTGGTGCCAGTGAAGGCCCGAAGAGGGTGTCAGATCCCCTGGAACTGGAGTTACAGACAGTTGTGAACTACCAAGCGGGTGCTGGGGACTGAACCCGGGTTCTTCGGCAGAATACTCTTAATGGTTGTGTCATCTCTCCAGCCCTCAAAAATATTTTTGATGAAAATCTTAAATATGTAAAGAAAAACAGTCTTGGAAAATCATCTCTTCTTGAGAGACTTGAAGCTCCCTTTCATGATTAACTGATGTGGCCACAGATGCATATAAAAATTTCTGTGGCATTCATAACAAATTTGAGTTACTAATAAATGGAAGGCTAAGCATCACATATTTATTGGTGATTGTTGCTAAGAGCATTGTTTGTGATGGAACTGTGTTATGTTTAATTTTGTTAAGCTAAATTTTACAAGCTCATGTTGGGTAGGAGTAAAGGTGCAGACACATGGCTGATGACAGGGAGGAGGGAGAAATGAATACGGGTATACCTTTAATACCTTGTGGGTGTGGCCCTGAGTAGCTGGAGTGAGGTGTGGAACTTTGTATCCTCTCCCCCTCGAGAAATTATACATATGCATGCTGTGTATCTGGGCCATTGAGTGAGGTGCCTAGCATGCCCTACCTCGCCCCTTCCTTTTATTAATAACCGTGAGGACAATGGGTGTTTTATGGGAGACAGACTTCCCAGGTAACTTTTGGAAAACTTGGTGCATTCTAACTCTAAGGCCTAGGGAGGTATGCCATGCTTTTATTGCCTGGATAAATGAAGGCAAACTCAGTATTTCTTAACAATGCTCTCATTGCCCTTTGCTTGTGGCCTTGTCCCTCGGAAGTCACAAAGGAAACTGTGGGGCTTTTGTATCAAACTCATCTTTCCCAACAGCCCTTGAATTCAGAATACCCAGATACGCAGTATCTGAGTTTTGATAGAAAAACACACAAGAAATATGCAAAACAGTAGCATTCTCTAGGTTCATAGAGCCTTGGAATGAAGGATGCTCATGCACATCCTCTGGAGGCAGCTGGGGACTCTTCAGTTTCTACCTGACCCTTTTTTGCAGATGACAAAAGCTGGCAACACATGTTTTGTGTTCCCTGGCACACAGGATGGGGGCGTGATTGACACCTGCCATCCAATGCAATTGTTTGAGATCTGGAAGATGGAATTGAGAGAGAATTGTCTTCTTCAAGGCTCCCAGTGACCTTCCTGCAGACTCCTGTACCAGGTTCTAGCATTTATTCTCCATCTCTCTGTGTGTCAAGGAAGGGTCATGGTGCCAATAGCTTCTTGATGTCATTCTCTAATTCTCCAGGACTGTAGCTCTTGTTTTGTTTGTTTGTTTTTTGAGAAAGGGTTTCTTTGTGTAGCTTTGCAGACCAGGTTGGCCTCGAACTCACAGAGATCTGCCTGCCTCTGCCTCCCCAGTGCTGGGATGAAAGGTGTACACCACCACCACCCAGCCATTTTTTGGGGGGGTGGACAGTAGTTTTTAACCCGTGGGTTGTGACCCATTTGGACATCACATATCAGATATCCTGTATATCAGATGTTTATATATGTAACATCTGATGCAATTAGAGTTATGAAATAGCAACAAAATAATTTCATGGTGGGGCAATCACCACAATCTGAGGAACTGTGATTAAAGGGGTGCAGAATTAGAAAGGTTGACAACCACTTCTCTAAGACCTGGAATGGCCAGTTTCCTGGTATACAGAAGCTCTCTGAAATGGTGGTGGCTTCAGCTTCAGAGAGGAGTCCCTGACTAGCTCTCTGGTGCTTGAGAGGTCATCCCAGAGACCATGTCTAGAACCTGTGCTTATATCCACCCTTGTACTGGTTCTTTGTGTGACATTTCTTTTGGTTTAAAAAATCTAGTAATGTCTACACCCTGGCTGGTACACTGATATTTTGAATATTCTCTTTCCTTGGTGCTCAAGAGACTTGTGACCTTTGTGCAAATCAAGTGTCATTGTAAGTTTTAGGACAGATGAGTGAAGTTTGTTTTCCTTATTAAAACAGAAAAGCTTCTGGGAAAGAGGTGGTTGGAAGGTAGGAACAGCGTTGTTGTTTTCATTGTTGTTACAAAAAAAATACCCTTAGAAAACCTTCATGTGCCTCTGGCTTGGAGACTTGATACTCAAAATAAAAATAGTAATAAAAATAATAGCCAGGCATTGGTGGCACACGCCTTTAATCCCAGCACTTGGGAGGTAGAGACAGGAGGATCTCTGTGAGTTCAAGGACGGCCTGCTCTACAGAGAAAGTACCAGGATAGGCTCCAAAGCTACACAGAGATACCCTGTCTCGAAAAACCAAAGTAATAATAATAATAATAATAATAATAATAATAATAATAATAATAATAATACTTTCCAGAAAGTCTGTCAGGAAGCAGAGACATTTAGCTTTTAGGCATTGGCTCTTTGGTTAGTGCAGTTGCTGAGGGTCACATGGCTGTGATTCTGAAGTGGGGGACAGAGGGGAATGAGGGAGACTTTGACTCTAGAGGGGAAACATAAGGAAATGGGAAGGGACCAATTAGCAAGTTACAGTACAGTTGTAACCAGAGTGCACATGGAACTCACATCCATGCAGTGCCTATCACACATTCAGGACCAATCAGTGGATGGTTGAGAAATTCTAAAGACTGGGAGAGGCCTGGAATGGTAAGAGGCCAATGCCACTCATCTCAAAGCAGCCTTTATGATATGCTGAGAGATATGACAGCGTGGTAGAAATGTAGACTCATGAACTCTGAGATACCATCTCAGGATGGCTTATAAACCAAAACACTGGGGAGTTGCTTAACCACAAGGAACTCTGACTATGTATTCAAATCATAAGGCTGTTATGAGGTATAAATGATGCAAAGTAAATAGAAGAAATGGTATATTGGGAGGCATAGTACAATAATATTTAAAATGTGCTTTTTAGTGTATTCATTTTATTTTTACAATATATACACTATTCAAAGTTGGGAGAGATTCGTGATGTATAACCACTTAAATGGCAATTTATTTTTATAGACAGAAAAATTGAGCAAACAAGCAGCCTTTTGTTTTTACTGAGAACAGAGCAAGCATATGCTAGAGCTAGAGCAAGGAGGATGAAGGTTAGGCAGATAGGAGCAGTTCTTTGTATGGACACTATACAGCTGGGGGTAGGTGACAATGAAGCCTGAAGCTTTCTTCCCTGGTAGGGTGCTAGGGCTTAAACAGCCTGGTAGCCTTGTCACCCCAAGGTGTCTTGCAGGAAAGATTTAGCTGTTTTCCTAAAGATAGCTGAAACTTGCCCTTAGCTCTTGCCACCCCCTACCCTCGCTTTAACAAATTAGACTTGCCTGTTCCCCAACAAGCAGCATCACTAACACATTTAATGTTCCAGGCTGAATGCTGAAGTTCTTGGCTCTCTATTGAGACTTTTAGAAATATATAATAGTTTGGAAAGTACATGTTGTGTTAGGGCCACTTTCCCAGCATGGGCCAGGGATAGACTCTATCTGATAAGCTGTCAAGAACAGAGATTGAGTGTCAGACCTTAAATGCTATACATTTCCTGATCTATGCAGCAAGAGACAGACAGACAGACACATCATCAGGCATGCACCTGTCTCTTCAATATCCCTGCATCCTTAAACAAGCAACTGAGAGTAATGTTAAAATTAGACCGCACTGGAGGCAGTTGGAATTGAGGAAATTAGCTGAATGCTTCCTTGGTAATTGTCGGTGAGGCTGTGAAGGGTATGTCGTACCTGAGAGAAGCTGATAACAAACAACTCGGGAATCCAGAAATAAACAGCTGGCTCTTCTCTTTCTTTTGTCCCTTGGAGATGCCTTTGATGCCCGTGGATGTCTCTTTGTCCTTCCCCTCTTTATTCATTCCTGTGGAAGGAAAGGTGAACACTGTTGTCTACTAACCCATGGCAGAGGAAGTCCCCAGCTGGGAAGAGATTACATGATATTTATGGATTGTCTGAGCTCTGTAGGGCTCTGAACTCAGCAGGAGCAACCAGATGTGGGCCCTGACCCTCTGGGTGTGTAGTAAGATGACAGGATAGGGACATAAATAACTATAATTAAGAGGCAAAAACCAAATCTTATGGCAGTAGAGGTGGGGCCATCAAAGAAACTTGCTTGGGAGGGAGGGAGGGAGGGAGGGAAAGGTGGAGTGAGGTAGGGGCTTAGAGAGATGGGGATAGGGAGAGGGAGAAAACACATCTCTTCAATAATGGCAGTAATAGCAGAGGATCTAAACTTGCTCAGGTTATTGAACATAGCACAGTAGTTTGTTTTAGACCTATCCTAGATTGTACAAAATTGAAATAAGGCAAAAGCGAGAGAGGGCATGAAGAATTTACCCAGTGGGGATCTGTTAATGGACTCAGAGTGTACATGACATTTGGAACTGAATTTGAGATAGGATTCTATGGCAGTAGGGTGTGGATGGCTTGGGGGGAGGAGGCATATAATACAAGGGGAATGGAATTGATGGAAGCCCAGAAATGGGCAGTGGCATAGGGTCAGAGATAGGCACATCTTATCTAAAGACTAAGCAGATACTCTTGACTTGAAAAGCTATAAGAGGTATGAGCACATGAAAAAATTACTGCCAGTATTGAAGAATTGGGTTCCTCTCACCTTTCACCTTCCAGCACAAGATGACTTCACCTTCCAGCTGAAGGTCCTCACCAAATTGCCCTATCTTAATCCTGGCATTTAGACTCATGAGGCACATAAACGTTGGTTCATTATTGCTTTCTTGACCTTAGGTACTTGGTTAGAGCCACACAAGACACTGCTCACTCGCAATTGAGGCCACCTACAGAAACCAGAGTCCCAGCTGCTAACAGAACGAAGGACCCACCTCTTGGCCAGTTCCTTGAGCATTGCATGATCTTCTGCAGCCTCCTATCCATCTCCTCCCTGTGTGTGGGCTTTAGCAGCACTGTCCTCCCAGCATCCCTGCTCTCATTGTCTGTCAGGACTTCCCCTCCATCCTCTGCTTCTGGCTATAGCACTGACCTTCTCCTTTGCCCCAACCTCTATTCCCAACACCCTTCCTATTTTCTGATTCCACCTCTAATGCCCGGAGCATTGGCTAGATATACCAGATGATCCCTGAGGACTAGGACTGGAGCCCTGTCTCTGGAATTCTCAGCTCTGGGGATACAGGATACATGCATGTGTGCAGTGAGGAAGAGTGTGGGGACAGAGCCAGGAGCAGGCCCTGTACTAGCTTTGGCTTCTCCTTCTCCTCCACCCTTCCCCGAATAGATTGTTTATAATGTTGTACTGACAGGAACTGCTGCTCACCGCTGCTGGGTTTCAGCAGAAGATAAAGTGACAGGAAGATTGTACCACAATCTCCAAAAAGGCCCCCTGGGGAGGATGTTGAGAGAAGGTGATTGATTTGGTTAGATTGTGATGTGTTATTTAGGGAGAAGACAGGGGAGCTGGGAGCATGGAAGGGGGAGGAAGTAGAGGGAGAGAAAGCAGCCGCCATGTGGCTGAGGACTCTGGTGCTCTGCATCAGGATGGAAGGCAGAAACCTGGTGAGGCAGGGAGCCGCTTCTTGTAGCAACCGTTCTGGAGGCTCTCCTGGAAGGGAACCCTTCAGCAGATGCTGTGGTTGTCATGGCTTGGTGCTCTGGCTTCAACTGCATTGAAGAACAGGCAGCTGGGACATACCATAGGCCAGGAGTGCATGGACTGGACAGAGTCCCCACAGAGGGGGATCACATGGTGAAGCAACAAGGAGCCAAGTGCTCATAGAAGCACTGGCTAAGTGTGGTACATTGGTTAAGCATCCTCCTCCTGCAATCAGGAAGAATTTAGGGAGGGTTCCTGTCATGGAGAGACACTCAACAAGCTGCTCAAAAGGGAGAGGAAGGATGACAGAAGCTGATCTTCCTCACTGTCACTGCTCTCCCTAAGTAGCAACTGGGGTGGGAATGTATTTAAAGGGATTTCTTGTCTTCTTACTCCTCATTTGGGGGAAATACCAAGAAAGAAAATGGCTGATATAGAAATCTTGTTCAGAGGGGAGTTGGGGACAGCTAGTGATGCACCCTTCCCTATGCGGCTCTGAATGAAGCCATGCCTTCTACCATCAGGGCCGAGGTTTGGATGTATGAGAAACAAAAGAAAATCACTCACCAGATATAATGAGGGTGGGGACATCAGGGAACCTATCCATGGAACCTTCCAGCCATTGGCAATGCCTGGCTAAAGCACCAGGGGTTCTCCTGTAGTGGTGAAGTTCCTTCTTATGTCTCCCCTAAGGTCTTAAGTCTTCTTAAGAGTGACATTAGCATTCAGATCTCTCTGGTGAGAAATAATTCATGCCATTCTGCAAGAAGTCTTTATTTCTGCAGACTTATCCCAGGGTAATGACAGTGACAAAGAGACACAAACATCTAAAAAAAAAAAAAAGTTAAAGTTGAGCTCATGGGTTGGTGAGAATATAGACTATTGTCCAAACTAAAGATGGTGGTGAGGGGGCTGTGCAAAAGAAATAAGGCAGAACAACTAGAACAGCCTGGAGATTTGAGATTTGAGAGGAAAGAGTTGCAAAACAGGAATGAGAGAATGGACCAATAACTAACTATATCATTATATAAAGTGTCAAAAGCCATCCCTTCTTAAAGACATTCTAGAAAGTATATACTAGAAAGTTCCATTACTCTTATTAATGTGAACAGTGATGCCTAGAGTTGGGTATACCACAGCTCCTGGTTGTTGCAGGACCTTGTACGGTAAGCAAGACTTTTGAGTTCTTTTCTTTGTGGCATGTAATATAGTCTCTCCTTTGTCATCTTCTCAAGAACCTTTAGGGGAGAAACTGCATTGCTTTTTCAAAGCCTTTGGAGCTAGATTTGTTTTCTTTTTAATGTGTCACTGTATGCAGCAAGGCCTTAAGGCCGGAGCAGTATAGCTGAGATTGATTTGGATGACTTCCATTTGGTTGCACAGACAACAAGCTTGGGGTGTGTACTCTAAAACTGATGACAGGCTGGCTTCCATGTCAGTCATCAGTCTTTAAAATCTAAGATCTATCAAGAGAGCAGGCACTTCTGAGTCTATCCTGCATTATCTCCTACCAAGGTCTCAGTGTCAGAATCTTAATTGGAAAGGACAAAAGGATAAGATCAGGCTTGTGGACTGACTGGAAATGCTGTTTCAAAGCTAGGGTATCATTATAAGGTATGCTGGTTGGTTTTCTGTCAACTTGACACAAGCTGTCGCCTGAGTAGAGGGAACCAAGATCAAGAAAATGCTTCCACCAGACTGTACTGTAGGCAAGTCTGTGAGGTATTGTCTTGATTAGTGACCCAAGAGTGAGAATCCAGGCCACTAGAGATGTTACTACACCTGGGCAGGTGGTCCTGGGTTGAATAAAGAAAGCAAATTGAGCAAGCCATGAGAGAAAAGCCACTAAACAGCATTCTTCCATGGCCATGGTCTCTACTTCAGTTCCTGTCTTCAGGTTCCTGCTTGAATTCCTGCCATGGCTTTCCTCAGTGACAGGCTGTGGTTAGGACATTCACGCTAAATAAATTCTTTTCTCCCCCAGCTGCTTTTAGCAGTGATCTTTATTACAGCAATAGAAAGCAAATTAGGACATAATGGTAGAGAATTTGAGTTAAAGATAAAAACTAAGTGTGAGACAGCTACACCACAGAACAGCTGCAACCAGGAGTAGCCAAGCAGGTGAAAAGCCAGTGATTTAAAGGAATCTTGGAGCAGCTGTTGATACCTGTGGCTGTTCTAGTATGAACCAGTGTGGGCTGGCTCCAACTAGAGAGGCTTCTTTGTCTCAGGACAACAGTAGAGGGGAACAGTCACATTTCTGTGGCTCCCTGACTCCTGCAGAGATACCTGCTTCTCTCCCAAAATTTCCCCAGAGATTTGCTAGGGAGTGGACAGGACAGACTGGGTAAATTTGAGACCCAATAAAAGATTATAGGCCATAGTTCTCCAACTCGGTCAGAAGCATTAGTTGTAGGCAGTTGAATTAAGTCATTGCTCCCAATCTCCCAATCTTTCACCCTTGGCTCAATTCTGCATGTGGCAAGATAGAGAAAGGGGGCCAGGGCCATGCCCCTCACCAGCTGGCTAAGCAGGATTATGGTAACACCATAAATCCAAAGCCAGGCATGTTTATGAGGCTCTCAGAAGCTGTAGTAACAATATCATTTAGAAAACATTTATGCTCCCAAGATGAAGGCAATCCCTCCTCTCCTTTATTTATAAGGCATGCTGGGTAATTAAGTGGGAGCTGGGAAGGAAGGTGGTTGGGAGACGATGGCCTCTAAATAATCCTGCCTGGTAAAGCCACCATCTGCTGTTGTGCAGTAAGGATAGCCCACATACAGAGGAATGGTTTATGAGCAGTGCAAGAATCAAGGGTACAGGAGAAAATTCTCAAGGAACACCAGCAGGCTGGCACAGATGTTGGCTGAGTGACTAGATGACTGGGACATGTCCTACTCACAGAACCCAGCATTGTGCCTGGCGTCTGGTGGTTGTCTGACTCATGTAGGTGACTTAATTCATCCAACCATTGGTTCAGACACAGCTTGGTGGGTGCCGACACATGCCAGGATCTGCACTTGGCATATGCTAATGTTAGTGACTAAAAAAAGACAAAGCTACTACGCATGGACTCAGGACACCATTGAGGAGATAGAGGCCTATTATCGATTGACCGGGTCTTAGTTTTCAGAATATGAGCTGCCATCACATACTGTAGTTAACAAAGTCCCATAAGAATCTCCAGTTTCTTAAAGAAAATGTATCGAGTTATTCCCCTGCTACTCAAGAGTCTGTGCTCATCCTTCTATGTTATTAGGGATACTGGAAGAAATATACCTTTAGGTTGTATTTGTCATTGTCCTCCGTTATCAGTCAGTCACAAGACGTTTCATAAAGCTGTAAGGCCTTTCACACACCTTACTTAGCAATTCCCTTAGCTCTTACTAGTCATCTTCCCCACACTGGCTCTAGTAGGAGGTAGAGGAACCAGGAGAGTTAAAGTCCAGTTTTCACAGCTTCTGAGGTCTTCTCTGGGCTTACCAGACCTTCTAAAATTTGGAGGGGCTGGAGAGATAGCTCAGTGGGGTAAAATACTGGCTGCACAAGATGCAGGACCATATAAAATCCATATAAAATCTGGGTGGTGGCTTGCCTAAAACCTTGGTACTGGGGAAAGAGACAGGAGGATCCCACAGGCTAACCATCCAGCCAGTCTAGCTCAAATGGTGGACTCCGGGTTCAGTTAGAGATTGTCTAGAAATAAAAAGTGTGACTGAGTAAGAACTCTAAGACCTCTTGACACCCAAAGTTAACCTCCACACACACCAACACAGGCAATGCTCCCCCCAACACAGGCAAGAGCACCCATACATTCACACACACACACACACACACACACACACACACACACACACACCCACACAGGCAAGTGCACCCACACATTCACACACATACACACCAACACAGGCAAGTATACACCCATATTCATACACACACAGACATGTGTACACATGCATGTACATGCACTCTCACATGTGTGTGAGCACATGCATACATCCTCCTCTTCCGTGAAACAAATTGGAAGAATTTTTGAAATGAAATTCTATCACTTGAAGGAGCCCTTTGGGAGAAAAGATACTGTATTTTAGGACTCCAGTTATGACATGTGACTCCTTTGCAGTCATTTGTGTCCAGGTTTTTCATAGCAGCTGTGCCTCTCTCTCTCTTTCTCTCTCTCTCTCTCTCTCTCTCTCTCTCTCTCTCTCTCTCTCTCTCCTCTCGCTCTCTCTCTGTCTGTCTGTCTGTCTCCCACAGCTTCATGAAAACACACTGCTTGGGTCTTTCCCTGGCACTGTTTTTACGCTGCCTTTACTATCATCACAAACTTTACTGAGTTTTCTCAATTGACCTAAAGCCGTCATTTCCCCCTCTCTGTTTCACCTCTCATGTCTGAGTGACACTGTGCTTGTTTCTTCACCGTAATTCAGGATGATTTTCTCCAATTGCTCTGCTCTATACTCTCCTGGGTAGATGCCTGCCAAGTCACTTGGGACTGGATAAGCTTAGTATTTCCCGTGGACTGGAGATATGGGTAAGTGGTTTTAGAGCACTTGCTGATCTTGTGGAAAACCTGGGTTTGGTTTCCATCACCCACATCAGGTGGCCGGCTCACTGCCTGTAACCTCTGTTGTGGGGGATTCAACATCCTCCTATGGCCTCTGAGGGCACAGGGAAGCACATGCTACATACATACTGACTCACACACACATACACATAAAAAAGGGCATCTCCAAATGCTTCCCATAGTTGCTTGGCCTTTAAAGAATGAGAAATTCTAAGATCTCAGTGTTGAGATCTTAGATAATAGATCTTCGAGGAGAGAGTGAAGGACTCAAAGGAAGGGCCTGCTGAGCAGTAGACCCTCCCAGCCAGCAGGGCTTCAGGGCTTGGGTCATGGTCTAGATATAGTTTGAGTTTGTTCTCAAGGGTTCATGAGTGGGGAGTCTTGTAACAGTGTGGCAATATCAAGACATGGTGGGACTTTAAGAGGTGAGGACTAGTAAAGATCAACAAGTCTTTGAGAAACAGTCTTTTCTAGGGGGTTAAGTTAGTTTTCATGTGACCCCACAAGGACTCATGAGAAGCAGTTATATTAAGGAAATGAGTTGGACCACTCCACTCGTTCTTTATTTCTGCCTCATCATTCTGTTGTCTCTCCCTCTTACACATGCATCTGCCATGCCAGATGGGACTAAGAGAGCCCTCACTGTAGCCAAGATAATGTTGGTTGTATCCTTGGGCCTCCAGAACTGTGAACCAGACAAACTCTTTTTCATGCTTATTACACAGCCTTGGGTATTTTGTTGTAGCCATGAAAACACAGACTAATACAGGCTGTTTAATGGATTTGAACAGGAGGTATGATGGGCAAGGGAGGAAATGAAGGCCGAGAACTTCAAAGTCAATCTCTAGTTCTTAGCTTTTTTACAAGGTTGTGCTCCAGCACTCCATTTTATCATAATCATGACTCACAGCCCTTAGCTACAATTTATTAAGGAATTTTAGAATAGATCCAACATTGCCGGATTACAGTTGGAAGGGTTTTTCTCTTGAGAGGCTAGGGGCAAAGGGTTTTGATCAAGACTGAAGAGTCTGTGATTGGCTAAGCTATACTGAGCCATCAGTGCCTCTCTCTCCTTTCTGTTTGTTTCCAGGATGCTGTCCTCTCTGACAGTGTTGTTTCCAGGGAATCGTTCATGTACACACAGTGGCTCTGAGACTGAGCAATGACTGTAACCTGGGCTTCACATGCAGGCAACAGCCTGGCAGCACACACAGCAAGACTCTGCCAATGTTCATGATCTACCTAACAGGGGCGGGGCGGGGGAGGGGAGTGCGAT